TTTGAAAATTGATTAGCATCCATATACTGTGATAAAAAAAAAAACTAAAGGTATGCAGGCATTAGGAAAAAATTGCATGATTTTTATACTTGTATGGTATTTTAGTTTTTCTATTAATTTCAACTGTTATGAAATACATAGTGAACTAGAAATATGTCCATAGGACATGAATGCCCCACTGAGGGTATTTTAGTAATGCAACATTTTAACACAAATTGAGAAAAGTGAGGTCAAGGTCAAAGGAAAGGTCAAGGTGAAACAAGAGGCCCATGGGCCACATTGCTCACCTGAGCACATTGGTTAGACAAAAGCACAAATCAGTTCAGTACATGTATTGAAAAGATTGGGGGGGGGGGGGGGGCTTGAATTTTAAACTACCTTCAATGCCAATTTAACAAATGGCTTTGATGTACTTGAAAAGCTTTTAAAAAAATTTCCCATATATTCCTTTGTAAAAATTTGATCCCCCATTGTGGCTTCTCCCTATCCCATGGGTCATCATTTGAACAAACTTGAATCAACACTATCTGAGGATGCTTCCATATCAATATGACTAAACATAGTTTTTCTGTTCTTGAGAATATTTTTTTCTATATGTTCTTATGTAAAACTTTGGGTCCCACCCTACCCCCGCAAAGACGGATCCAGGGCCAGCGCGCCGGGCATGCCCCCCCCCCCCCCCCCCCCCGTTTGAATTTTTTTATGTAGAACTTATATGTCCATTATCCTAAAATCAAGGAAAAACATCTCTTCTTTGTAAGAATTTGTCAGCTTCCCAGACCCCCACCAAGGCCTTGCTCTAGACCCAATGGGGGCTTCAATGCAGCCCCCAGACCCACTGCCTCTACCCCCCCCCCCACCCCCCGTTACGAAATTCCTGGATCCACCACTGCCCCGGGGGTCATCATTTGAACAAAATTGAATTTACACTACCTGAGGATGCTTCCATATCAAAATGACTAAACATGATTTTCAGTTCTTGAGAAGAAGATATTTTCCTATATGTTCCTATGTAAAATTTTCAATCCCCCATTGGGCCCCACCCTACCCCTGGGGGTCATCATTTGAACAAAATTTAATTTACACTACCTGAGGATGCTTCCATATCAAAATGACTTATCATGGCTTTGCAGTTCTTCTTCAGAAGATATTTTCCTATATATTTCTATTTAAGACTTTGATCCTCCATTGTGGCCCCACCCTACCCCCCGGGGGTCATGATTTGAACAAAATAGAATCTACACTACCTGAGGATGCTTCCACATAAATATGACCAATCAGGTCTTAGCCGTTCCTGAAAAAAGATTTTTTAAAGATTTTTCCTTTATATTTTAATGTAAAACTTTGATCCTCCATTGTGGCCCCGCCCTACCCCGGGGGTCATGATTTGAACAAACTTGAATCTACACTACCTGACGATGCTTCCATATAAATATGACTCATCATGGCTTTGCTGTTCTTGAGAAGAAAATTTTTAAAGGTTTTTCCTATATATTTCTATGTAAAACTTTGATCCTCCATTGTGGCCCCGCCCTACCCCCGGGGGTCATGGTTTGAACAAACTTGAATCTACACTACCTGAAGATGCTTCCACATGAGTTTCATCTTTCCTGGCCCTGTGGTTCTTGAGAAGAAGATTTTTAAAAGATGCTATTTATTTTTCACCAATTCTCTATTATCTCCCCTTGAAAGAGGGCATGGCCCTTCATTTGAACAAACTTGAATCCCCTTCACCAAGGGATGCTTTGTGGCAAGTTTGGTTGAAATTGGCCCAGTGGTTCTGGAGAAGAAGATGAAATTGTGAAAAGTTTACAACGCCGACGACAACGCCAACGACAGACAACGGACAAATTTCTCTCACTTGAGCCTTCGGCTCAGGTGAGCTAAAAATATTGACGCAGTTGAATAGCTTACATCAGTATGTATCAGCATATGAAGTTTGACACTAATTTAAGAAAAGTGAGGTCAAGGTCAAAAGAAAGGTCAAGGTCAAAAATTGTTGATGCAGTTGAATAGCTTACATCAGTATGTATTAGCATATGAAGTTTGATAAAAATATTATGCATGGTTTCTTTAAAACTGAGCTAAACATTAATTTAAGATAAGTGAGGTCAAAGGAAAGGTCAAGGTCAATATTGATGCAGTTGAATAGCTCTCATCAGTATGTATCAGCATATGAAGTTTGACACTAATTTAAGAAAAGTGAGGTCAGGTCAAAGGAAAGGTCAAGGTCAAAAAATGTTGATGCAGTTGAATAGCTCTCATCAGTATGTGTCAACATATGAAGTTTGATTACACTATCTTGAATGGTATCTTTAAAACTGAGCTAAGCACCAATTTAAGAAAAGTGAGGTCAAGGCCAAAAGAAAGGTCAAGGTCAAAAAATGTTGATGCAGTTGAATAGCTTACATCAGTATGTATCAACATATGAAGTTTGATTACACTGTCTTGAATGGTATCTTTAAAACTGAGCTAAACACTAATTTAAGAAAAGTGAGGTCAAGGTCAAATGAAAGGTCAAGGTCAAAAAATATTGATGCAGTTGCATAGCTCTCATCAATATCTATCAGCATATGAAGTTTGATAAAAATATCTTGGATAGTTTCTTTGAAACTGAGCTTTGAACAGAGCTAAACGCAAAGTGTGACGGAAGGACAGAAGGACGGAAGACGGACATGACAAACACTATATGCCCCAGCCATATTCATGGCGGGGCATAAAAAAAATATGATATCATTGCGATATCATTGTAAGATATCAGAGATTACTTTGAATTCAATTTTATCCCATTGCTAATAAGCATTGGTATCTAAGCAATATTAAAGGAAATTTTTAAAATTTCTATAAAAAATTCTTCTTCTTATTTTTTTTTTTCAAATGTTTACTTTTTATAAGACCATTTTTAAGACTTCAAAGTACCTTGAATCATATTAAGAAGCAATGTAAAATGAAAATTGTGCCATGTAAAAATTTTAATTTCAAGCTCATTTTGAGACTTATTCAATTAAATACCAAATGAATTTTAAAAGTTGTTCCTGGCTGAGGAGCGGACTTCCTTAAGGAGATGCTAAAATGTAATATAGTTCAGAATGTTCAGAGCTCAAAACAAACAATAATTTTAATGAGGTCATCTTATCAAAAATACCAAACTTCTTACCAGAGATGATAAAGAGCAAATTTGAAGGTCCTTCCAGGTTCTTTATAACAATTACTATATACTGTATCTATAAAAATAACTCGTCCTTCGCATTGTTGTAGAAGTATGTTGAAGAATAAAATGAAGGACTTAAAACTTAACTTTTATAGTATTCTTAGCCATTTCTCTTTAAAAGTAATGATTATTACAGAGATACACATACATGTACATGGTTAATGATAATAGTTTTCATTTCCCTTATCCTTATTCAAAGTTTCTATGAACAAAATCACTTTCATTGCTACTTTGAATTCACTGTACTCTGAGCTCCTAATAATAACTATAAAGTTAAATGTCTATACTTTCATTACACTGTAAGTTTTGTTATCTCATTTTGCTGTGAGGTACATTGTATGTACATGCATATACATGTATGTAAATGTGAAACATATTACTTACATGTAAATTGAATTTTCATGATCAGATTAATAACTTCTAAAAGTAATTTTGCTGACAAATTGTACTAATATTTCTAGAGATGACAATTTTATAATCATTTTCTTTTTTACATTCACAAACTGTATAAACACTTAGAGCACTGAGGTAAAAAGTGACCATTTTTCCCCCAATCATCAAATGCATGTGTTAATTAGAGCCAAATGGCAGCTTTAATTATCTGTAAGTAATAATATTATACAGGATGACGATGATCAATAATGAGACATAAAAAAAAAATTACAAAATGTCGATCAATGAAAAACTCTATTAATTTTTAAAAAATTACATGCATTGTATTTTCCAAAATATTCCACACTATGAAAAGTAGGAAATTAAGTTTAGCACTATTCTACAATTTACATATACATGTATTACATGTTTACTATCCATTAATACTCAACAAAATTAATGTTTAATTAGACAAGCAAGTAATGCTATCAGCAAATTAAATTTAAAATTCACATCGATACCTTTCTATAATACTCTCATTCATCTGAATTACAAAACTTGAAATATGTATACATAGTAATAATGCATTTCTAACATATGGCACACAGAAATATATTACAAATACACTACTGTATGTTCTTAACCAAAAGTCTCTGATGAGACTCTACTGCTCTACTGGTTTATACCTCTACACTTGAAACTATCATAATAGCCATAATTAGAATAATGATCCTTGATTTAGTCTCATGGAGTGGCACTTAAGTTTTATTGCAATTGCAGTACTAAAGCTGTAGGCAGAATAGCATTTTCAAAGAATTTCACCAAAATGTCTATTTTTAGTAGGTTTTTTTTGTTTGTCAAAAATCAAATATCAACCTATAAAATTATGTATTTTAGTGAAGTCTATTTGTGTAAAAAGTTTTATTGAAAACCGAAACTGTAGAAGAGTTAGCATTTTAAAAGAATTACACAGAAATTTCTAGTTTTAGTAACCATGGCAACACTGTTCAATGAAATAAAAAAAAAGAAAAATTGTTTACAGACAGACAAACAGCTAAACAGGCAATGGACACCTTGCCATTCCATAACCTCTTCTGATCTCTGACCAGTAGAGCTAAAAATGCCCCTTGGCCATAACTTTCACTTAAGTTCCAAATAAATTATTAAAGTAACAATATGAAGAATGCTTATAAAATATGCATGCGCAAAGAACTCAAGGAGCTCACAAAAATTCTTTTCACCTAAGCTTTCTGAAAGTATATATATGTGTTAGATATCAAACAGATGACTAACAAACACTGGTCAGGAATACTTTTTTCTCAAAAGAGTTATTTATAAGGAACACAAATACAAATTTTCAAAAGTTTAAAAAAAAAAAAAAAGAACAACATACAGTTAAAGCATATCCCCCCCCCCCCCCAAGCCACATTTTGAAAATCTTATTAATGTACACAATTGTATACTTTGTATGAAAAATCTGAATTTTAAAAAAATATTATAGTTTGGAAATAGAACATTAGGAATTCTTGTTTCTGTGACATCACATACTATTTGGATTTTCTTTTATTTTCAAGAAAAAGGACAAAATGAACAAATTTATTCAAATTTGACTATAGAATTTACAGAGGGCAAGTCTACTCCAGTGTAATATTCAAATATAGTCAAACCTCATTATCTCAAACTCCATGGGATTGAGAAAAAACTTCAAGATATCAGAGGATTCGAGATATCAGGGGTAAAATTACTGAAAAAATAAGTGGTTGGGACTTCCAAATCATATTATCCAAATTGAATCATACCATATCCTTTGACATATCCATGGTATTTGAGATATCAGTGATCGAGATTTCACAGTTCAACTTTTAAGTATCATTCTACACATTACATATCAAAAGATTGATTTGGTGCAGACCTGCACTCAATGACTTCTTATCAAAATATCAACGTAAAGTTAACTTTTTTCTCCCAAAATGGATGAAATTTTGAATTTATGTCATTTTCTTGACAACATATTTAACCTATGGCGTAATGGGGGCAAATATGGTCATTTCAGGATATAATCCATCCCAAGTGAAGTATTATAGATTATAAATTGTCTTGCCCACATATATCCCATTGACAACACTTCTCCCAGTACAAAAATCAAAACAAATATATCAGTTATAACTTTTTTCTTAGGAGGTCGGGATATACTCTTTATTGTGAAAATATTATTTGATCAGAGATCAGAATATTTTATGAGACAATGTTTGAATGAAGACTACAAGTTTCCCAATGGAATGTTTATCACATAACACCCAACCCTATACCCTCCTTTCATTTGAAATAAGTATTTCTAAGTACAAAAATACATGCATCATCATAACATGAACTTTTCACAACAACAAACAATATATCATGATCTAAAACAAATGCTCAGTACAACAAGTATAAAATAATGCACCTATGAAACCTCTAAACTAATATAACAAAAACAACAACTATTGTTACTTCAAGTCTTATTTCCTGCATGACTAATGCAGTTACCTACTGCTGCAGGTCACATTAAAGCAAAATATAAAATAAAACAGTTCCATGTAGTTTCATTCAATATTATGAACCAGCTACCTTTGATAACAGTTTAACAACAAATGCCATAAATGTCTAATGCCAGCAAAGTTCAGTACATGAACATGAACACAGTCATTCCACTTTAAGGATTTTGCTGAAATCATCCTGTGCTTTTGATTTCCAGGACTCTTTGGCCTTCATCCGTTTCAGCTGACCATCCCTGTTTATAAAAGTACAGAAGTGAACATCACGATGCCAAAAAAAAAAAAAAAAATCAAATGATTAGAGGCAAAAAACATTGGAATTAAACTGATAATTATTGATTACAACTACATTGCTGAGGCCATGATTGATTTCAAAATTAATGACTGACATAAATCCTTTCACTAGAAATTTTGGAAAAAAAAAAAACCAACCCAGGTTGTTATACATTTATATAAAGAATGAGTGCACTTATGGGCCCCGGTAAAATGTGAAAAAATGAAAAATCAAATTAAGCATAATTTTTCATCTCAGATCATTAATTGATATCTAAGCCATAAGATTCAACAAATTTTATCGGTGAAATTCATGAATATACAAAGAGCAAAGCCATACTACAATGTGGTAGGGGTCAGCCAACATTCATGATTTTCTATAGTAAATCGAGGACGGTCATTCATTTCAAAGCTTTTGTTTACTGTCAGCCTAACGTTGTACAAACTTGTGCGAATGACAAAAAACGCATCATACATTTATAAAACTTGTGTGAAAGTAGGAAATTTGTACAAGCTTAGGCTTGTACTTATTATATTAAAAATGTATGAAAAGTTCAATGTTTTTCCTATAGCAAACGAGAGCTATTTACCTGTATGACCTTTGTTGAACCCACCCGTGGAATAAATTATTTAAAATACCGGTAGTCACGTGAGTTCTACCCAAGTATATATTCCTCTAAGGTGCTCACTGTAAAAGATAGCCACGTTTTGTATCACTGTATTGAAGTCGTGCAGCATAGAGAAGTTTGTATGTATTTGGTTTTATGAATATGGGAGGGTTAGGAGAGTTTAGTGTCATTAAAATGTCATCATACATAAAAGTGTCAAACATTTTTTAATATTCATGCAAGACAATGGTACCGGTAATGAAAGCCATCTAAATACACTTTTTTCATTTTAAAATTTAAAGGAACTAATGTTAATACTTATTGTATTATTTCAAATTTAAACGTGCAAATTTCTTAGTTTGATCACTATGGCTACAGGCATCTATACAACTTCATTCAATTTTTTTTCTCAGGTAAAATAGCACAAGATTATCATTCGGAAAACGCGCCTATCAATGATCCACCATCAGATTGTTCAAGTGTCCGATTTAAATGTCTCCTCCCCTTGATTTAAATAAACGAAACTCAAAATAGGTTCAGTACGACTTTTCCGGATTTGGGGTATCTATAGGCATTTAAAAATCTTCATTTGTTTTAAATCCATTCTGATTTAGGTGATGTTTTAATGCGATTTTAATTAGAAATATCCACTTGTGTTTAACTATTACTGAAAAAGAACAATTTGATAATATCTTCTCAAGTAAAACGGCACTGAAAAAGGGCCCATTAAGCATTGCTTAAGTGCACTTGTCCTTTACCTGATTACACATGTAATATTAGAGAGGTTTAGCAAACCAATGTGTACGTGTATGTGTACATGTAGCAGCTAGGGGATTCCCCCCCCCCTCCCCCCCCCCCGTAAATCTGTGCATTACATGTACGTCATCAGTTTTGCTAATGACGAATTTCTACATGTATCCACTTACATGTAGATTACCGAGTACATGCAAGTCCAAACTTGTAGCCTATATTTCTTTAACTGCTGTTTATTTTTTAAAATGTGAGTGTTTTCCTAAAACCTGAAGATTTAATGCATATTCTGATATAAAGAACTAAACATCTATAATTGAAAAATATAATTTTATAGAATGTTAAATACAAATCTAGACTTTCAAAACAGGCTTTGACTGATCAAAATTATGAGAACTCTTTTCATTCTTTTTCCTATAAATATATATGCATATATTTATTTAAAAGGGTGATATGCGTATTAAATTTAAAGTGTTTTCTAATTTTTTTTTATGGTATGCACTTTTACATTTAAAACACTTATAAGTACGCGTTCGGGTTATACTTTGCTAAACAAGAAAAATAATGTTAACGTGTACGAGTAATTCTAACTTGTAGTATACACGTACATGAACACGTACAAGTGAGCTTGCTAAACCTCTCTAATACAAGGAGTTTCAAAGTAATTTAGTACCCAGAAAATGGGAGAAGTCAAAATACTATGACTGCAAAATATTCAATCCAGGCCCTTCACATTTTACCCTTGGGGAGGAAGAGGGGTGATGGCTGAGAAGAATGTGGCTTCTCGATATTTTGTAAAAATAATTAGCCTAATTATTAAGGACAGATGATACAAACAAAAAAACGAATGTCTGGATAGGTATATATTTTTTGACTTATTTTGGTTGTAAATGATTGGAATAATAAATTTCTAAAATATTAAGAAATTGTAAACGTTCTACGATGCTTAAAATTCCACCTCTCTGCAACCACCCTTATTAATCTATACAACAATTTGTCACTTAAAATCCAATTATTGTGAAACTTTGAATGAAAAATAAAAATCTATGCAGTTAAACTTGTTCAATTTACTTATATAAACATGTTTTAAGTTGTTATTTTCAAGATTTTTATAAAAGTTTGTTTGTATCATCTGTCCTTAAATGTTGCGTCCATAACAGGTATTTTAGTTGGTTTTGGCCACAACAGAGATATTCATTTTTGTACTACTTTTCCTCTTGGTATAAAACTTCGTACTACTTATCCTCTTGGTATAAAACTTCACAGAAGGGTGTTTCAATAACGTAATAATACTTTGAACACCATTTTCATTTAGACTTACCATGATAAATCTACCAGTCCACCTTGTCTGGCTATTTCTTTTTTCACTCTGTTAGCAAAATCAACAGCGCTTTCATTTTCCTGAAACACATTATACACTAGTAATACACAATATTCACACAGTGTTTTATCTGTTGGCAGTATCTTACTCAATAGGGTGTAATAAACAAAGTATATGAAGGTCTCAACAAACGAGATACCTTCAGCTTTTCCATCATCAACTTTCCTTATTTATGTAGTAATATTACACAATCCGGGCAGGCTACTGACACATAAGTGGAAGTTACAGGGATTTCAACAACCTCTTTTAATGTCAGCATTTCATAAATTTGATGATCATTATCATGACCTTATTTGCAAAGACAATGTAACATAGGTTCATATTTTGACTAACATATTTAATACCAAGTTTTAGGCCATTGTTTTTTAAACTAAATTTGACAATGGATTATTCCATCTACCAGATCAATACATAGGGCTTATGGTGGGTGTGATTAGTCAACAGGGGATGCTTACTCCTCCTAGGCACCTAATCCAACCTCTGTAATTTTTTTGGGTTCAAATTTTTCTACCCTGTTCGGATTTGTATTGTTAATAAGTTTTATGAGATCAATTACTGTTCATTTTCTTTACTTTGTCATTCATATGAAAAAAATGTCTTTTTAATACATGCTTATTATCAAAACAAATTATTTAGATTGTCAAATCCTTTTGGTTTAAATAGATTTGAATTCCATATTTACATTTATTTATAAAACAATTAAAGTACCCCTGTAATTCAGAAATAAGTTGCTTATACATGTGTAAAACTACTCATAATTTACAAAAGGTGATTTGATCTAAATGACTGCTAATTTAACTTTGTGAGATTTAACCATTAATTAGGACCACTCAGATTAAAAAAAAACAAACTATTAAATGTTTTTCTATCTTGTGAACATTTAAGAACATCATCTTACAACAAAAAATTCTTTGATAATCATTGTACTTTAAATTGTGTCATTACCACTTTCATCCAAAGATGGAATTAAGTAAAAAGTATTTTAAATACTTAAAGCTCTATAATCAATAGTTAAATCTTTGTTAATACTTGTTCAACACGTTCTTTTGAAGATGGAATTAAAAGTGTTTATAAATACTTGGAACTTCTATAGTCAATTAAAGAAAGAGACTAAATAGATCAACAAACTGTTTCGACAGATACATGTAGTAGACCAAAGACACAGAACTATTGATGATTACACTCACACTTCTATGCATGGGAGGGAGATACCACACCTCCGCCACCAAGGCCCAGCTCGTTAACAAATCAAATATATGCTGCACCATTCCCATCTTACTGCTGTTCCAAAAAGCATCGCCAAATCTTTTATCATACTGAAACAAAAAAAATATCTAGTTGTTACAGATTTCAAAACAGTGTAACGACAAGTTTATTTTACGTACATGTATATATTAATCTGTGTAACATCTGGTTTAGAATATATAATAAAGAAAAAATCTTGGTATTGATAATGATTTGGCAGAAATATTGTACATGTATGTCATTCCATCTCACATTTTTACAACATGATTGCCAGAACTAGAAATATGTCCATATAGGATATAAAGTCCCTGTCCACAGTTATTAGTCCCCTACCGGTGAAACCGGAGGGGACTATAGGTTTCCTCTGAGTCTGTCTGTCTGTCTGTCTGTCTGTCCCTCTGTCTGTCTGTCAGTCTGTCCCACTTGGTTTTCTGCACTTTTTTTTCTAAATGCTTGCAGATATTGAGCTGATTTTTGGTATGTGAGTGTATCTTGATGAGTTACAGATCAAGTATGTATTTCATTCCGCTTCATTGATTTTTGACGGAATTTCGACCTTTTCAATTTTTAGGAGTTTTCCGCAATTTTTTTCTAAACACTTGAAGATATTGAGTTGATTTTTAATATGAGACTTTACCTTGATGAGTTATATATCAAGTTTGTATTTCATTTCGCTTCATTGATTTTTGACGGAATTATGTCAGTTTCAATTTTTATTGGGAACCAGATTACACTAGGCGGTAGGGGACTAGTATTGCTAATGCAATACTCTCAGAATGCTTGTTTGTACTGCAACATGAAGAGAAATGTACCTTCCCTCTTTGGTCTAAAATCATATTAAAGATATGATGAAAGTAGGAATAATTTTCCAATTTTTTTCATATGCAGAACTGATACTCTCTGTACAGTTGTTCTTTCTAGCATGGTATGTAGTGTTGATTTATCCCATCTATCTTCTAACAGTTGAATGAAGTCTGACTGTTTCTAGATCATTCTCTCATATTCAGCAAAGTATGAATGGTTAAACTGCTCTTACAGAGATTATCAATGTATGGAGTTTTATAAAATAATCCTTTATGGAATCAAATAAAATGAACTAGGAGCAAAATGAGCAAAAAAGTGAAATTCAAGGTCACATGAAAGGACAAAGTTATGACAAACTTTAATTGCTTGCATCAATTTTAATAAACAAAGTTGTATGAAAATATTTTGCAACACTTTTTTTTTAAACTTAGGTTACTGAAAAATGAAGGAATGTTGAGGTCAAGGTCATTGAAAGGTCAAGGTAAGATAATATACACAGTTGAATATTACTCTCACCAATATGTATCAAAGTAAATGAAGTTTGATGAAAAATCTTCAGAAGTTAAATTCAAGGTCATGGGAAGATCAAAGTCATAAAGAAGGTCAGGGTCAGAAAATTATGATACATTTTGAAAAGTTCTATCAACATCTATCAGTGTGTGAGTTTTGACAAATATATCTTGAATATTTACATAGAAACTGAGCTAAATGCAAAATAGGGAAAAGTGAGGTCACAGGAAAGGTCAAGGTCAAAAACTATGACACAATTAAAAAGTTCAGACCAGTATGTACAGTGTGTGATTTTTAATAAAAATATCTTGAATAGTTACTTTTAAACTGAGTTGAAAACAGTGTCAGATGGATGGACAGAAGGAAGGACAGTGTTGGAAGGATGGAAGGCAGACATGATGAACACCACATACCCCATCCATATTCAAATGGGTGTTTCATAAGAAACATTATTTTACCATATTATGCAACCTAACCTTCATAACCTTTTATATCTCTCCTTATCT